ATCACCTGCACCTCTAGCTCTTCTGCCTCCTTCCACCTTCCCTGGTCACAAAACGTTGACGCGAGATTTGCTATGCTAGACAGCGTATCTGGGTGCTCCTGTCCTAATTTTGATTCTTCCTCCCGTAGAAGGATTTCAAAAAGTTCTTCTGACTTTTTGTAATGCCCTTGGGACCTATAAAATTCACCGAAGATTGTTGTCTCGAATCCCATCTTTAGACTGCCTAGCTCTCTAGCCTCAAGCAATGAGTGGTTACTCATACATGAATCAAGATGTGTGAGAAGTTCATGCTTGATCTCAAGGGGAGCTCCTTCTATTGCATCATATATTACCGATGCTACTAGTCTAATAACTTCTCGTAGGATTTCTTTCCGGACGGATGATTTCTCCCGTAACTGGAGCCAGTCGCGTATAAGTGGATGTATCGAGAACCAAATGCTTGTCCTCGTACTTTGGGTGCTCTGGATTAAGGACAGGCGACGGAGGTGCTGAAGTATTTGTTCGAATTCATTTTGATCCCAGCATGGCCGTATATTATCTTCATCTGTTGTGTCAGAGCCTGAGTCTGAGTCTGAGTCTGGGAAAGTAAAAATGCTGAGCCAGTGGATCGATGCGTGGTTCAGTTCGTGACCCTTACGAAAGAGGTATTCCGTAATCTTCGAAGGCTCAAGGAAAGCAGACACGCTTAAAAATCTCGTTATATCCTCTCGATAATCCTGGTCACGACCTTTGATTTGTTCGAAGCTCATTTCCCATGTCGTGAACGCCGTTAGTTCTACCTTCTCTTCTGAGTCATGTGTATGCCTTCGGTACTCCCAGAGCTCTCTCGTATGTTGTAGTACTTCTTTTCTCTTTTTCTCATATATTGGCAAGAAGTCCGGCAACTCCATCTGCCGAAAATCGATAAAGGCAGCGGCTTGTTCGATCGCTAGGGCAAGGCCACCAAGACGTCTTACGATCTGTTCGCCATAGTACTGATCGCTCTCAGAAAGCTGAGGTGGAGAATCCCGGAGTAGAAGCTCTAGTCCCCCGTCGTCTGTCATGGATGGAATGGGAATCAATTTTCCCAAGAATTTCACACCCTCGTGCCGGCTGGTAATGATGATAGAGCCATGGCCGCCTAAGAATGTTAGCATGAAGTTGCTTTATTTTTCAAAAATACCTACAATCAGGGAAAAAGTCCCTAACGGTTCGAAAATCCTCGAGGCGATCATAATTATCGAAAACAAGTAACCAGGGCTGTTTCCATTGTCCGATCGTATCCAACACAAGATTGACCATTGCAGCGACGTCATATGCACTGTCTGCGGCTACCTTGTTAAGCCTCGTAGCAATGTTCTCAAAACTTCTTTCTGCTGTGTCTCTTGAGGTTGCATCGACCCAAAAGATGCCGCGATAGTCTTCTTTTGACCTTCTACAGTACTCCAATGCAATTTGGCTCTTTCCTTGTCCCCCCATTGCCTGCAACACCACTGTTGTAGGCTTCGCCTTGTCATTTCGTTGTTGCTTGAGGCATGTGTCGATATTGCATAGAAGCTGTTCCCGTCCGAAAAATTTGGAAACGGCGATATGGGGAACCTCATAATAGGTTTGGAGAGACACGGTAGCTTTCAATAAGTTAGCGATATACCTAATAGTTACTCAGGGGTTTGTACCGGTTCGTAGCTCGAGTTGGCGGTCAATGTTGTATTCCTACCAAAGTAAGTAAGGATAAATGTCTCTCCGTATTACTAGACTTCCTAAAGCATACTTTGATTTTCGCAGTAACGTCGAGCGTTGTAATGCCTGCCCATGGTCAACTCATGTTTTTTTTCTAACCTAAAAAAAAAAAAAAAAAAAAAGACTAGACAAAGTTCTCAATATACACACTTTGCTTCTGCTTGAGATTTGATGCACAATCTCGAAGGCTAAACTTCTGTGCTATCTCACTCAGGTATGCATCGGTAGCTGCCTCAATAGCACCCTGCTTTTCGTACTCTTCAAGGCCAATATCCTGGAGTCCCTGCTGGACGTTGAAACGAAAGTATCGCTTCTGGTCGAAGTGTTGGCGCCAATCCTGAACGAAATCTTCCGCCGTTTTCTCGGTTTCTGTGGCGAGTTGCACCAGTGCCTTGAGAAAGAACTTCGCTGCTTTGTCCTCGATCGGTTTCTTTCCCGGATTTCCGGTCCCGATAGAAACGAAGCACTTTACGAGAGGTTTCAAATCTCCCGTGTTGGTGCACCAAATGTTTGAGGCTTCGTTCCTCACTTCGACAACCGGGTTATTGGCTCGTAACGCACCGTCAACATACGTGCGTGCTCCTATTGTGATTGGCTCAAAAAATGATGTCGCTGCTGAAGTGGCAAGGGCAGCTTCACAGACGGTAGCGGAAGTGCTATCTTCATCAGGTAATCTGTAGCTGCGTAAACGGGTAATATCACTAGATTCCTTCGAAGCCGCACAAACGAACCTAAGAACTATCAGTCATGTAAGCCTAATTAATAGATAGCGGTAAACTAACACATGACACCCACGCTTAACCCCATCATCTAGGCGGGCATCTTCTGGGGTTTGGTATTCATGGAGGACTTCTTCAATGGCACCCTTAAGCTTTTCAGAGTCGAGTCGGGCTTTTATACGACCTTTCCAGTCTACCGGAAGGACGCCCTTCGCTCCGAAAACATTTTTCATTAGCCTGGTATAGGCTGAGATGCAGGCGTCAACGTCCATCTCGAGCCGACCAAGCATGATGGCAATAATGCTAGAAAAGTTAGGAATAGGCACGACAGGGAGATATCAAGCCTACGTACCCGCCAGTACTAGTACCACCAATAAGGTCAAATACTTCACATGGCTTGACAGCTGGGAGACCATCCTCATGCCGCTCATAATTGAGCTTCGTCATCAGGCGCTTTAGGACGTAAAGGCTCGATAATCCGCGGACGCCACCTCCATCTAGGCCATAATAGTTAGCAAAATTAAACTTCATGGTATGGCGAGATAGATAAAGGAGCAGTTATAGTAGCCCCTCTTAGTATACGGTTTATAAATAGAGCGACATACCAAGAGAGAGAAGACAGATGCCTTCTAAGTCAAGCGGGCTCGGTCCGCTCTCGGTTTTCTGCGTCGTTGCTTGCGCTTGCGCCATGAGTGAATATCACTTGGAGCTAGGCCAAAAGTCTGGATACCGAAAGACAACAGGTAATTTCAGGCCTTTATAGAAATTGTTTAGGGCTATAGCAAATATGTAACACCAGGTGCGGGGTACATCCTTCATCTGACTGCCAGCTCACCTGCTATAATTAGGCCCCGGTTAAGTTCACCACCCCCTATAATAGGCAACCGCTAGTACTTCTTCAGTTTAGCTTTGTATTTATATATTCGTTTACTACTTTAATTACCTCGTGCTTTTCCCTTTCATGCTTTTTCCTTTCATGCTTTTCTCTTTTATGCCTTTATCTTTTATGCCTTCCTAGTAATGATTCTACAGGCTATACGCATCTATGGTAATTTAACTTATCTTTAGTCGCGCAGAGTAAGTAGATAAATGAATGATGTAAGGGGGTAAGGTTGTTGTGTAACAATAAATGGTAAGGCTAAACTCGTGTATTATCGGAGGCAAGCTGCAATGCAACCAGCAACGTCAGTGGCTTAGGCACGCGGGTACTCAGTGCGACGCGCGCATGTAAGTGGTCAGCGGAGGCGCGCGGTATTTACAGCCAGCGAAGGCAAACTGTAGACCCTGGACTGTGGTAGACGGATGCGACCGGCAAGAGCTCCGCCCTGACGCCCTGACGCTGGCTGACCTGTGCGTGCATGCGCCCCCGCTCCCGCCGACGGTAGAGGCATTCTAGATAAAGCCCGGACAGTGCACGCCGAGATAAGTCTCGTACCACGTGGTGCGAGTAAGGACTTTAGTAGATAATTAAGATCTTGCATACAAAGAAATAGCTATTATATAGTTTAGTAAGCTTTTTTCGTTGATTAAAACTATTGGATTTTATGCATCTGCAGCATGTATCAGCTCTCCGCCGGTCGCCAATTATCAGTACTCTCGCAAAGCAGGGTAAGACGGATGCGCTGGGCGACCCTCGGTGGCCTAAGCGCTGCCATCAGCCCCAACCCGATGCATTATATACCGTAGTGAGCTGAAACCCCGGTCAGCCAAGACATTAAGCGCTGGTGGCGCCCCGTATCCGTTCTTTTCGTTGTAGAGGCTGCGCCATAATACCTCTACAACCACATAAACCGTTTGCGCCATCTTTCGTTCCCATCTCCTGCATTACA